GCTGCTGTACTATTACTGTTCTTGCTGTAGTTATTGCAATCTGACTTTAACGCCAGCAACCTGGCATCTCGGCTCATATATGAATTTATTACGTCGAGCAAGAAACATAATGCAGAGTGAAGGCTGGCAAGAACAATCTTACCGGCTTAAATTCGACGCCCTTTTTTACTGTCACAGGAACTGTTCGGTGCTTTGCTCCACAGCAAGGCTTCTTGGCTTTGTAACATTTTCGCAGCCACTTTATAGCATTTCTCCTACAGTATCAGATTTTGTGCAGGCGCTCCTGCGCGCACCTTTGACAAGCATTATCTTTTTGACTAGGTGATTGAATAAACTATATAAATGAAGACTGCCACAGGAATGTCGTTTCATACTGTTTTCTAATCTGATGAGCAGCCGCTCCGGAACATACAATTCTGAAATGGGGTAATGAACCTTTTGCACCGTCGCATCTCTGGGAATCGATGGCTATGATGCCCCATGTGCAGGGAGTGGGGGGCTGCGGAAAAATGCGCTTGCGTTTTTTTTTTTTTTTTTGCGAATTTATGCTGAACAAAGAAAATTTTTTTCTAAAGAGAAGCATCACAGACAATTCCTCAAGAAAAACTTCGTAAATGTCTTTTTTTGCTCTTATTTTAATGAGGAAATTTTATCAATAATTTAGTAGGATTGAAGTTTTCGGAAAAGAATTGATTCATTATTAGGACGTTTAGAAAAAAGCAATGTATTTTGTGCTTCATGAATAAGAAAAGCACTTGTTTCTCTGTTTTTCCGTTCATGGTGCCCGCTGAGAACTTGCCTATCCGATCATCCGAGGTTTTCAGCTTTTTTAACTTCTCTTGCCAGTGAGTGAATTAATCCAAACAGTTCAATTTTTAGCTAAAAGTATGTCAAGTCAAAGGTCAATACTCCCTCCGTATTCATTTTCTATGAGGAGGAGCGGAAGCACTTAGTAAATAATCCGGGTTGTAGCAAATTCTAATAAGGCTGTCGATGACTCACTCTGTCGAAGATTCCTCATAGGAAAGCTAATGCGGGTTTTATTCTCTGGCATGCACCAATAGTAATTTACCACCGAAAAGAATAAACGAATCGTAGAGGAAACACGCGTACTTGGCTAATTTGAGGAATGCCTACTGCATACCTGCTAATCAAATTGTGCCTGACTTGCGAGAAACGGGCTTAGACGTCACTAAGCCATGAACATGCAGTGTTATCACGGATCTCAAGCCACCCATCCCGTATCGCTTTTCATTCCGGAAAAAGGGAATTTAGTAGCCCCTGAGTTTGGCAATCTCGATGACATTGGGAACTTCTCACTCAGAATCGAACTGGAACCATTTTGGTAATTCTGGCATACAGCGATGAGCAATGCTGTCATTGCCACTGCTAACTTCTGCGTTTGCAGTTACTGGGATGCATTTGCACTGTCAGCACGCGAATGGCTCATTGTGCTTTATGCGGTTATCATTGTACTTACAATTATTTCGGTCGCTCTCCTCATCATATGCATTGTTCGAAGCTGCTGCTTCGTGCTCTTTGAAGACGAGAAGGTGACTGCTCTCATCGCCTCACAAAATCGGGACATATTCTCAAAGAGACACCCACCAGTCAATGAAAAGTTGCCAGTAACCCCATGTGGACTGCTTTTGGCTGCTTGCAGAACTAACTGAGGGGAAAGCGGGGGGAGGGGGGAAGGTGGAGAGGGAAGTTTGACTAAAGGAAATATACATAAAATTTTTTTAATCCATGTTAAAGAAATCTGGTTTTGAACTTTAATCGATCAGATACGCAATGCACAGTAATTATTTCCAGTGGACTAATTCTTTGGAAAATGAAATAAGACGGGTTTTTAATGAAACCTCTCGAAAAGGAACCGTCCTCACGCCTCCGACTGTACTTTCCACTTCTTTTCTACTCTCTTTTGCGCTTCCACAGCTAAAGTTATCATGAAACCAGCAAAAGTTCTGGAATGCAGCATTTTTCAAGTTACGGCGGTAGCGCCTTGAAACGTAGTTGCACGTTTAAGTAAGTACAGTGCAACGCTATCCATTAAAAGTTTTCTTCGCTGTCATTACTCTGTTTGAGTGAGACGGAAACACATAGAATTATTTCGAGATCAACCATCGGCTGGCAAGACTGTCGACAGCCGGCCCTCTCATGAACGAGTTAGTGACACGATTATGATTTTGCATTTTTCGTTATTCTCAGATGGATCGACTGGATGCACGTAATGGTCCCGATGATTACAATAGAAGTGGGAACAAATGCTGTGCACCAAATAAGGCAGCGATTTCTGTTTTACTTCACTTTTTTATCATTTTTCCAACAATTTACGCAAAACCGGTAATAGATGTCATCTAACGCTTATATGTTGCACAGCTCACTTTTTCCGAAGACATTTGATAAGCAGCAAAACCCTTTAAAATAATAACCCTAATGAGTGTTATTATTTCACAAGGTTTTAGTGTTTGTAAGCCGATTAATTGACGTATCATTGGTCAAAGCAGCTGAGAGACTTGCCGAATGCATCATAACTGAATAGCACACTACACGAGTTATAGCTAACCTAAGCGGGTTACAACTCGCTGTGAGTTTTGGCAGTTTGAGTTGTACCAGCCCGGTCTATATGACTGTACAAGGGAAAACAGTTTCAACGAATCTTTGAAAACGGATTAAAATGCGTAAAAGAAAAAACCCAAGCGGGAGAATTTGAGTTAGACAGGGGCACGCCAGATGTTGTTTCTCGATAGCGACAGACAATTCAGCGCTGAAGCACTAAAGCAATCGTAGCATTTTGGCGTCGAAGATGCTTAGGATTTTTGAAAAGTAATAGCAAAGTGCAGCAGAAGGGTGACACAGCCGTTCATGCCCACAGTATATTCTTACAGAGCCAGATAATAAACAATAAAAATTAATCATAAAGCAGTAACAGAAAAACTAATGGCAACTGATAATAAAATGATTTTGTCAATTTTCGTGTACCTTTTCTGCTTCATGAAAAAAATCGGTATTAGTTTGAACGTAAGGCCGAGATGCAAAAAAAGTGAGTTTACTTTAGGTTTATTGCCTGATCGGAGAATACATTTATAAAGTCTTTTTCCTTAGGTTTTATGCTTGTGCAGACAGATTATTTGGGCACAGTGCATTTTATTTTCACAAAAAACGCGCATCAAAGTGCCTTAAAGTAAGTTTTATTTTAGGTGTTTGAAAGAGACGTAATCATAGCAGTGCCACAGCAGCAGACAGCAACAAAGCCAGAAAGCCGAAACATTCGAAAGATTGATGAAAACTGTCCGGTGCACGGACATAAAAAACGTAACTGACTGCCTACATTTTTATAATCAGATATTAAATAATCTAAAATACCAGCTCTTTTTGCTGAGCTACTAATTTTTTCCTTTTCTTTTCAAGAAATTACTGGAATTTAGTGCATCGATAATGATAAAACTAGTGTGGGTCTCAAAAAGTTTCGCAAAAGTTTCCTATAATTTGAATTGAGTAAATGGTGATCCTTTACGATTTCTGCAAGAAAAAAGTAAGTAAGAAACAAGAAGTCGGTCACAGGTACAGCCACTGAATGTATTTTTGGCATGAGCGGGTAATATGATAGTCAAGCGCCAAAACTCCGTATGTATTCATTTTATGAGAGGTTTATGCACTCGAAAAGCTCTCCGAAGACAGCAAATTCCAACAGCAACCACTGGTAAGGCGGTTGATAGCTCCCTTTTCTAAGGATTACTTAAAAGCAAACTAATCACGGAGACAGCAGTACAGCATACTGGGAACAGTAAAAAAATGAGCTAGACAATTCCATCTGCCAAACGGTTCCCCTTTACAATAGGCAAGGCCCCTCCAAACACAAATTACTGACTGCTTTTTACTGAAAATAAATATAATGGCATTATGTTTTAAAATACAGCAAGCTGCTGAAGTCGTTTTTGAAAGTTTTTTTACTGAACCAAGTCACAGAAAAGCAGTCCTCCACAATGAGCCCGACTTTGATATTGTCATCAGTTGTCGCTTTTCTTTTCGATACTAATATAACTGGAGACTCCTCCATTCAACTAGAACACCGCACGTCCCCTGTGATAAAATAAGCGAGTATCATTCAGCTATCCATCTGCTGTTTCGCATTCTTGTCGCACGAACAAACCATCCTGATGCTAAGTGCAGCCGTAAACAGTATTTTAAAATTTTTTATAATTTTCAGTGCCGTCATTTTCAGTCTAAGCAATCTCGCTGTAGTTGAAGTGGCGATTTATAATTCAATTCAGGTCACACAGGCACAGGCAGTGCGAGAACCGAACGCGAAAAGTACAGTTTGCTAGCTGATAACGGAGTTGTGGCGTGATTTTTGTGCCTTCGAGTGGCATATGCGACCCAGGAGGAAGATGAGATACTGATTAGAAATGATCTGCAAGTGACATGCTTGCTTCAAAAGATTAATGAATAAACATGGATAATCATTCATTCTTCACTCAAGCTATTTTCTATGTTCTCACTTTTTATGCGTTTTTGCATATATGCAAACTGCAAAAACGCATATTGGGAAGAGGCTGTGTGTGGGTGTCTGTGTGTTCGCACTTTTTGTCACCCACTTTCAATTCGAGACCCACAGAAGGTAGAAGGCTGAAACTTTGGGGATATGTGCCCATACCATGCGCGACTCTCCCGTTTTAATT